GCTGTTAGCAGTTATGCAGCTCCTGAGGAGTTTTAAGACAGATGTTGAAGTGCATGTCATAAGAGGAAATTGAAAGAAAAACAAAGGGTAAACGTTGCTTGGAATTTGTCTTTTCCTAAAGCTTTAGAGTTCAGGCCGTTGTGTCCTGTCTCCAGCTCCAGTTGTGAGCACAGGCAAACCAAACTCTTTGGTTTCTAAGCCTCCTCTCCTTGGTCCTTGACACCTCTCACCAGTGCTCTGCCTTCAGTGAGGAACTTCTGCACTTGGACAAACAGAAGAGGATTAGAAAGTGAACCAGAGATGCTGAGAGGACAAAACCAAACTTGCCCTAACACCTCCCAGTAAGATGTAGCAATAAAAGGGATCTAGAAGGCATCATAAAACAGGAAACATAAAATGAAGAGGGAATAAACCAAACCTCCAGCACTCACCTCAGCCTTGGTCACCATTTAATTCCTGTAGCCAAGAACCCCAGAGCCAGACTCTGAAAAGGGAAGGATGGCCCACTGAACAGTTTGCAAGGGCGACAGGCTGACAAAGGACAGGACACAAGGTGTGCTGCCTGCCAGGTTCAGACAGCTGTTTGTGATAACTGGATTTTAAATCCTAGCACCTACCTGGAGATTAAAAATCAATTTCCTGCCAAGGCCACAGATCTTAAACAACCAAAGCAGTTTTTCCTCTCAGAGAAAGGTCTGATTAAAAAGCACTTAATTCCCTCCAGGCTTCTCGAGTTTGCCCCTTGGCTTGTTGTAAGACATATCTATTGTACTGCACGGGTTGTCAATAAACCTGTAAACACCCAGGTATCATTTATCACTCTATTTCTATTTTATGGATTACTCCCATTTCAGCCTCATTACATCAGGGAACGGTGGCATGGCTTGAAGCTTTAGTGCTTTGCCACTGCTGCTGTAGCTGAACGAGCACGGCTGCCAGGCTAGAAGGGATGATCCCTCTGTACCCAGCTGTGCCCTTCCACACTTCAGGGTCATCCCAGATTCATCTGCAGCCATGAACTCTGTCCAGTTCTCTTCAATGCAGATGAAGATTTCCAAGTTTGTAGGGTACATGTCTGTCAGCACAAAATCCCTGTCAGCCTCCACCTTCTCCTGAAAAAGAGCAAGACAGAGCCAGCGGTACCTCCAAGGAGATGGGGGAGGAGGAGCATCAGCAAAGCAAACACTGCCCTCAGGAACGGGAAGGAGAGGCTGCACTTCAGAAATTATTTTTTTTAACCACCCTAACAGTCATACCGCTTTGACTTCTTTTTTTACCTGGGGTGTATGCACAGATACATTTGAAAGGCAGTAAATGCAACAGTGAATTGCTAGTGCTAAGATTTCACGTGTCATTTAAAGCAGTGGCATCCCCTCCACCAGTTTCAGCTACAAGAAAAAGCAGATTATAAAAAAAAAACAAACCAAAGGTACAAAACCAAATCAAAACACACCCATTTCCCTTCACACCCATGTGAGCACAGAGAGCCATAGGCTGGCAAAAGACTGTGAGAATATCGTTTGGGAACCCCCAAGATTTGGTTTTGGAGTGACAGTCAGAAACCCACAGGCTCTGGGCACGTGAAATTTTATTAAAAATTAAGGGATCCAAAGCAAGAGCAAAGTATGATGATGTCCAGCATCTCCCTTGCTTAGCATCTTGCTCAGTCCAGGAAGCAGCAGCAGACACTGGCAAACACGAGGCCACACCTGAACCTGTACAAAACCTTATTACCCAAATAAGATCTATTAAAAACAAAACAGCCACAGAGAACAGAAACAGAAAACAAATACAAGGCATGTTACAGAGTCATAGACAAGCTGAAAGGTGCCAGACTTTCTAATATTCCCTATGTTTTAACAGCAGTAAGAGAAAACATAAGAAACACTTTTCACTTTATGCTGCCTCTGAGCTTGCATTCTTTTTAAACCAGTAGTTTTTCTTCTCTAGTCAGAGACGTTTTTTAGGGAGGGCTTTTTTTGGCTGGTTGGACAGGGGAGTTTTGTATCTTAAAAAAACCCAAACCGAACAAACACAACTTTGCTTCCCATCTGTCGACAAAAATCTTTTACAGAGTGCAGAAAAGCATTATTAAAAATAACAAAAATGGTAACAAGTTTACTAGCTGATTAACTTTAGGTTGTGTAGTAGTTAAAGGGTTTTATTTCCACTTTTTTGACTTTTTTTATAATTTTAAGAAGTTCTGCATACAAGGGGACAGTTGGTATGAAACAGAACCGAGGTGCCTTCAAGGACAGTTGTTTCCCTGTTTTTCAAGAGGAAGGGCAGACATGCTAAGGCAGACTTTGGGTTTATCCAGGTATATCCAGATATTCCAGGGCACTGCAACACACCTGTTTGTGCAAAATTAACAGTAAATTTGAGACTCTTTGTGTAAGCTGGTTGTTCCCAAAATACAGCAGCATTCTGAAGTACACATCCCAACTTTATGAGCCTTATGGTGGTGATGGTTTAAAGCATGGCATGATTAACATTATTTTATTATAGAAATACTTTTCTGTAACAAAATTAAATATGCACTTATTTCTAAGATCCTTCATATCTACACAATATGAGCCTTGGAATTTAATCTTTCTCCCAGCTATAGTTTACTACCTTACACAACAAGTCTATGTATTTAAAATCACCTATACACAAAAATAAAGATACTAAAACCTGTAGCTTTTGATGAAAACAACCACCCTGGCAGTGCAATGACTACAGGACATGGCCTTGCAAGGGTGGAATGTACCCAAAATGTTTACAAATGCTATGAAAGGAAGATCTCTTTCAAACCTACATTTTCTGTGATGAAATGAATTCTGGTCACAGAAGCCCTTGGAAAAAGTGAGTGAGCAGCATCTATTTATTCCAACTATGACTCTTGCTTATCACACATTTTGTCACAAGCCCTTCCTGCTATTAATGCCCTTAAGGAATTTGAATCCTCTGCCTCTGGAGTGCACAGTACAAAACCAATTTGCCACTGTAGAGACAAAACAAAAAAAATAATCAGTCCTATTTAATTTCTATTTAATTCTTCCATGTTACATTTCAGCAAAGCCAAAGTTCTACTCCTCGTTCTTTTTTAAGGCACTCCCCCAAAGACAGTCCCAGTAAAAGATCCAGGGCAAAATACAGCCCATTCAAAGGAAAAAAAATCTTTGACACTTTGATGTAAACTGAACTGTCCCCCCACTGTTTGCCTTTACAGCCAGCAGGGTCCCGTGGGCAGCAGAGCCCAGACCCACAGACACCAAAGGCCACCCCAAGTTTACAAGTTAATAACTCTGGGCAACTTCAATTCCTACAACAGTCAGGCTTTGGAGGACTCAGGTGCTTACAGCAGTGTCAAGTTCCTTGCTAATCCTATATAAAGCAATTTTTGTTTGTCACTGAGTCACAGGGGAATTGCAGAAGAGCTCTTGTTAGAGCAGGGGGCTGGCAGCCACCAGCCAAACCATCCCAACAGGACCAAGCCATCACACAGCAGTGTTCTGTCATCCCACACTGACCCCTGGTTAAGTAATGCCACCCCTCTTCCAGGTAAATAACTTGTTTGCTTTAAATTACACTTTAGGAAAACCAAAAAGGCACCAGTTTACATGTAAGGGTTGTACAATCCACACAGTGTCAGCTTTGAAAATGGCACCGACCTATTTCAGCTCTTAAAAGAAAAAAGAGTAAAATAGCATCCTCTAAAAAATAAAAAAAAATCACTGGTTTACACACCTGCACCTGTGCAGCAGATTTACAAACAAACTTGTGGGACACATTTTATTTCAAACTAAACCAGAAGTCTGACCCTGAACAGTTACCAAGTGCTCAGTGCTCCCCACTACAGTTGCCAGGAGCTGTAAAGCCTCAGTGCCCTTCAGGGCACACTCAAAGAGGCATCAGCAGAAAGTCCCTGGAAACAACAAGGGGGGAAGGGGGAAAAGAGGATAGAGGAAGAGCAAACAACTCTGCAACCTTCCGAACATCACTGTGAAGAGAATGCAACATGTGACAACACAGAAGAGAAATAGTGATGCAGCTGGGGCTCAGTGCACTCCACTGACACTGAACACTGCCAGACTCTCATTACAAAGCTTCAGCAGGTAAGACACCTGCTTCATTCTGGGTATTCTGTACAGAAACTTTGGGTTTAGTGGATGCTTCGAGCTCTACATGGCCATCAAAACATTTCTGAAGGGAGCAAAGAAAGTGAGCAATTTCTATAAAGCGGAAGCTGCAAAGGGTTTTACTTCCTTCTAAGTATTTGTAATTAAAATTATTAGATTTTAATTAAATTATGTCTAAAAAAGAAAACAATGTTATTTCTGGCTTAGTCCTCAGTGTTACAATGCCTGGTGCCTGCCCCAGGTTCCAGCAGGGTTCTCTCTAGTTCAGTAGAAAAGCAACAAAACACCAATTCCCTGAATGCAGAGTGAAAAAAGTACAGAAGAAATAGCAGAGGATGGAGATGCCTCCAAACTGCAGTGACACATTCCTGCTCTCCTAGCCCCTGACATCACATACTGGCCTACTTCTGCCCCTCTGGAGCTTCAGGAATAGCAACCAAGACATAAAGTTGTCCCATTTAGCCTTGTGCTGCACTCCCTGCAGGATCAAACACACCGGCCTGAAGAGACAAAGTTGAGAGTGCAGACATAGCACCACCATCAGAGTGCACTGGCACATAAACAATGAAGTTACAAAATGTACAGGGCCAAACCAAAAATTTTTATTAGCAAACGAGTAAAGACTCATCATCACTGGTACTGATGTCAGGGAGGGGAGCAGAGGACTCTGACATTGGCACTTCCACAGAATGGCAACAAGCCTCGTGAACACCCAAAGGCTCCTCCCGGTGTGAGTTAGGGCAACACTGGTTTTGTCCATCCACATGGATATGAACATTCATAGGGCTGTCTGGATAACCAGACTCCCACTTTTTTAAGGGTAACCTACATGGCTCTTCACTCAGCGGATGACTTCCACTTAAACTGCTGTCCTCTGGGCCAGTCCTCCTGGATGCTGACCCTCCATGGATCGCTTCTGTAACGCTTTCAGACAAAGGATCTCTGAAAGCCTTTCCTGAATCCACTTTACTGGGCTGCTTAAGCTCTCTGTCAGAGTCAGCACTTGAAGGTTTACTGGCATGTTCCGCCTCGGGCTCTGCACGTGCTGCTGTGCAAGCAGTGGGCGAGGCGCTGGAAGGCGACGGCTCTGGGATTGCAGTCTCTGGCTGCAGGCTGCTACACCCAGCTTCCTGTGGGCCCCTGGCTTGGCCATTCGCCTCTAGACCAGGTCCTTCTGGGGAAGCTGGGGGGCTCTGAGCAGCCCCATCAGCACGGTTGAGGATGCCATCCCCCAGCGTGGTCTGTGAGGTGCGGGCGGGGGTGAGGAGCGGGATCTGCCCCCTGCCCCGCGGTCTGTGGAACAGCCTGTTCCAGAGCCGGCCCAGGCGCCGCCGCGACGAGCTGCGCCGGGACGAGTGGCGCCTCATCTGCCTCCTCATGGCTGTCCGGATGTTCTGCAGCACTGAGGCCTGCAACACAGTTGGAGCAAAGCGTCACTTCACACTTACTCCAGAGACTTCCCCCAAATCCCATTTCCCCCCACCGGAATTCTCAGGCTTGATCCCTACGCTCTCCTGGGAAAACCCTGTTTTCTAACAAACACCAAGGACAGATCTGCCTGTACCAAAAGACTCCCAAAGAATCATAGAATGGTTTGGGTTGGAAGGGACCTTGAAGATCATCTAGTCCCAACGTCCCTGCTGTGGGCAGGGACACCTCCCACCAGATCAGGTTGGTCAATGTCCCATCCAACCCGGCCTTGGACACCTCCTGGGATAGGACATCCACAGCTTCTCTCCCTTACAGTGTTTCCTTTATGAGTTTAAGCTCTACCTGTCTGCCCAGGAAGGTACCTCTCCACTGGAGTAACAAACTACAAGTGTTTTATCACACTAGGAACTGTATCACAGTTGGATAATTCTGACAGGGTACAGGAGTTTTTTGAGAACTCAGCAATTACAGAGGAGAATGATTTAATGGCCTGCCACTGTAATGTATCTGTAAATGAAAAATAATCCCAGAATTTCCCAAACAGACTGGTAGAGACCTTACTTTCTTATCACTTCAAGCACATTTTACAGTTTCAGCTTGAAAAGCATTTTTTCTATTTACTTTCCGATCTTTCTCTCTGGTTCATTCTGTCTTGATGTGCAGTAAAACAGCATGTGTTTATCTCACTGCTGTTCCCTAGCAAACACATTTAATGTGTTCAAAACTACCCACAGCACTGAGATGTGCAACTGTGGTCCCTCAGCTCCACGTCATACACATATATTTTTATATTACTTCTGTGTAATTGGCACAGTCACAACTGCAATACAGTTCCAGATTGATTCTATCTAATTTGTACAGTAGTTTGGCTGCTGAGATGTTCACTGGCACTTGTGCCTGCATACTTGTGATGCGTTGTACACAGGGAAGTCTTCCACTGGGGGGATGAGTCCTTGTGCAATCAGCTGTCCGTAGGAAGGTGGAGCTTCCCTCCGCACAAACTCGGCCTCCAGTCGCGTCATCTGGGTCTCAAATGCTCTGGAAACAGAACCAGAGGAAAACATGGAAGGGAAGGAACAGTTTGTCCTGCCTCCCTCATGTCAATGTACAAAAGCACTGCCAAGGGGTTCATGCTAGCAGCAAACCTCAAACCTTCCACTATGCTCCGTGAAAATCTTACCAGGATGCAAAAACAAACAAGAGGTTGTTCAGCTCAGATGCAGTGAAGACTTCACTGTAGCAGTTCAACATTCAGATTTTAGTAGGGGAAAGAGGTTTGTTTCAGGGGGAGGAAGAAGAGGAAATTGCTCAAGACAGATTAAGTTAGACACAGATTCTGCTATGCTGTACAATAAATTTCTCATCAATCACAGAAGAACTGACATTCCCCTCACTACTTCTGAAAAATCTTAATACCCTTCTCTGAGCCTAATGCAGTGACTGCTATTTAGCTGTCGTCAAGTCCTCAGATTTGATTTCACAGTTATTTTGCAAATTCTCTGGTTAGCAATCAACTTTTTTCTCCTTTCAACAAAATGGAAGAAACCACCACAGCTAAGGAAGCATCGCCAAAGCAAGATGCTCACCTGTACTCCCTGGTCCTCAGAGAATACAATTTAAACGCACAACCCAGTGCTATCACCAGCAGCAAGCCACACACGAGACTGCCAATCAGAGCAGCTGTGATGACCTTCCTGGGAACAATCACCAGGCAGTTGTGTTCATCACTTCCATCCTGGCAGTCCTCTTGGCCATCACAGCGCCAGGTCTCGAAGATGCACAGGTTTGTCCCACAGTGGAAGTTTCCTGGCTGGCAAGTAAAGCAGTTCTTTTCATCTGAGCCATCTGGACAGTTCTTCTGGTTATTACAGCGGTCGAGTATGGAGTAACAAAGCCCACTGTTTCCTTCACAAGGGTATTCGTTCTTCTGGCAGGCGGGGCAGTTCTCCTCATCCTTGCCGTTGGGGCAGTGCCACCAGCCATCACAGTGCTGCTTGTCCGTGAAACATTCCTCGTCGCTGCCACACGGGTGCTCCCAGGGGAGGCAATAGCCTTTCACCTGATAGGTGGCGTTGAATCCATGGCCGGTGCTCTTGGAGCGGGCGTGGTACGAGACGGTGAGCTGGCCCTTGGACGACTCCACGCTCACCGAGTGCCTGTTGTTGTGGTGGGAGAAGGTCTGCATGAGCTTGTCCCCCCTCTCCCCGATGCCGTCGTACACCTTGACGTAGTCGCTGTAGCCCAGCTGCAAATCCAGCTGCAGCAGGACGTGCCGATTGTCCTGCGTGTCCACGTACCACGTGCAGCGAAGATCCGACCGGCTGTGGTCGGCACGGAAGAAATCCGGGGAGGCGAAAGAGCCGTAAAAATTCCCCAGCCTTTTGCCACAGGAAAGGTCGGGGCAGTTGTCTTCGTCAGAGCCGTCGCTGCAGTCCTTGACTGAGTTGCACCTCAGCTCGTTCCCCAAGCACTTGGTGGAGTGGGCAGCGCTGCACTGGAACGTTCCTGGGGGGCAGATGCTGGAGGGAGGGTCTGTGGGGGGGACAGTGCAGTTCCTCTCGTCCGAGTAATCACCACACTCATCCATGGAGTTACACTTCCAAGTACTGGGGATACACTTCCCGTTGGCACAGCGGAATTCATCCGACTGGCACACGGCCTGACCTATCTTTCCTGCGAAAGAGGACAAGAAGAAAGAAGTCAGGATCAAAACTTTTGGAACTATCTGATGGAATTTTTTAATATCTACCGCCCTGCATGCCACAAGTCAATCAGTCAGGCCAGCACACCTCAGGAATACTGTTTAAAAGCCCTGCAAATAATATTAGTTAGCATGCTAACTAATTACCATGCTAACACTTTACAGTCATCAAGACTGGCCCAAGACTCCTGTCAAAAAAAAAAAAAATACTACCATCTTCAAGTTTTTCCAGAGAGAGTACAAGTGAAGGCAAAAAACCTGTAATATTTTACCTCTAATATAAGAAAGGCGAAATCCCTGAGCCTGTCCTGAGCTTGATGCATCTGAGTGAAAAAATATCCAAACGTGGTCCCTCGCAGAGATGAAAGACGGGGGAATGGAAGATCCACACACTTTGTACTCCTCCCTCTTGGAAGATGGGCCGATCATCAACCAGTCAACTGCACACTTCTGAGACTCTTCCAAGTCAAAGTTCTTAAAACTGTTAGGAACAAAAAAAAAAAAAACCAAAACAAAAAACCACAGTTACAAAGAGGCCATGCATCTGGAACAAAGTCAAACAGAAAAAAACAACTCTAACAGTTGACTTCCTGTGCCAAGCAGTGCTGACATAAAGACACCACATTCAAAGACAGTGAAACATCTGCAGTACCTTGAGTATATGGATACAAAGTGCATTCCCCCCTTGGGAAAATCACCCACCTCCCAGGCATAAACATCATGCCAAGTAGCTCCAAAAGTGAGAGTGATTCCTCTTTCACCCAATCCTTAAACAAGACTTTTTCCTAAAATACATACATGAAGAAAAGCAAAGTTCCAGAATATATTATACAGGAGGTAGATTAATTTCAGCAGTTGCTTCCAACCTTAAAAGCTATGAAAATAGGGATGACAGGGGTAACTCCTGTATTGGGGAAAAAAACCAATAGGAAGCAGTACAAAGAACCCTAAAGGGATAAGTATCAGAGGCACAAATCCACTCTCCAAGCTATGGACAGACAAGGAGAGAACAAGAAGAGAACAGGGGTGGAGACGGAACCTAAAATCTAACACTATTATTTTTTAGTTCAAAGACTAAAATATTCCCTTACTGGGAATGCAAATGCAGAGCAAACAAGACCTTTTACAGTCATATTTCCAGCCCTTCTGCTGACCAAAGCCCAGTGATTTTTCAGTAGTAGCTTATCTAGTGCAAAGAGGTGCCCTGGTTGTTTGCAGAACACAACCAGACAATACTCCCTTCACCTATGGCTCAGGAACCACACGTGGTATTTGTCCTCTGATGAAACAGATTGAATTTGCACTCAGGAATCTGCAATGGCAACAGCAGATTGCACAGAAAAGCACACTCATTAGCAAAGGGAATGCTGCT